CAATCTCTTCTGGCTTATAGAGTTTCTTCTGAGAGGTCTGCTGTTAGTCTGATGAGCTTCCCTTTGTAAGACAACGGGCCTTTCTCTCTGGCTGCCCTTAACAGCTTTTCTTTCATTTCAGCCATGGAGAATCTAATGATTATGTTTCTTGGGGTTGATCTTTTCATGGAATATCTTAATGGAGTCCTCTGTATTTCCTGAATTTGCATGTTGTCCTGTCTTTCTACATTGGGGAAATTCTCCTGGATAATATCCTGAAGTGTGTTTTCCAGCTTGTTTCCATTCTCCCCATTTCTTTCGTGTACTCCAATCAATCATAGGTTCAGTCTTTTTATGAAGTCCCATATTTCTTGGAGGCTTTGCTGATTCCTTGTCATTTGTTTTTCTCTATACTTGTCTCCGTGTCTTATTTCAGGAAGATGGTCTTCAATCTCTGATATCCTTTCTTCTCCTTGGTCTATTAGGCTGTTGATACTTGTGTATGCTTCCCTAAGTTCTCGTGCTTTTCAGCTCCACCTGGTTATTTATATTCCTCTCCAAACTGGTTATTCTAGCTGGCAATTCCTCTAACCTTTTATCAAGGTTCTTAACTTCTTTGCATTGGGTTAGAACATGCTCCTTTAGTTCATCGTAGTTTTTTATTACCTTCTGAAGCCTACTTCTATCAGTTTGTCCATCTGATCCTCCAGTTCTGCACCCTCGATGGAAAGACGTTGAGATCATTTGGAGAAGAGGCACTCTGGCCTTTTGGAGTTTCAGCATTTTTTCGTTGATACTTTCTCATCTTCATGAGTTTGTCTAGTTTTGGCCTTTGAGGCTGCTGACCATTGGATGGGGTTTTTATGGGGGCCTTTTGGTGGTTGTTGTTGATGCTGTCATCATTTTCTGCTAGTTTGTTTTTCTTTCAGTAGTCAGGTCCCTCTTCTATAGGGCTGCTGCAATTTGGTGGGGGTTTACTTCAGGCCCTATTCATCTGATTCACTCCTGTGCCTGGAGATATCACTCGAGGAGGCTGGAGAGTAGCAAAGATGAGTGCCTGCTCCTTCTTCTGGGACCTCTGACCTCAAGGGGCACCAACCCGATGCCAGAAGGATCACTCCTGTATAGGGTGTCTGACAACCCTTGTTGGAGGGTCTCACCCAATTGGGTGGCATGAGAAGCAGGACCCGTTTAATGAGGCACTTTGTCCCTTGGTGGAGAGGGTGTGTTTCACTGGAAGGAAACCAACTTGTCAGGGCTACCTGGATTCCCCAGAACTACCAGGAGGAGAGGCTAAGTCTGCTAGTCCACAGAGACTGCGGCCACCCCTCCCCCTAGTGGCTCAGGCCCAGGAAGATCTGAATTCTGTCCCTGAGCCTCTGGCTGGAGTTATTGGAGATCCTGCAGGGAAGCCCCACCCACTGAGGAAGGATTGATCAGAGTTAAGCCTGATGATGCACTCTGGCCACAGACTGCCACAGCCGGTGTGTTGGGCTGTGGGGACAAGTCTTGGGATCAAGCCATCCAGCCTCCCTGGCTCCCGCAGGGAAAAAGCACGGCCAGAGCTATAGAAATAGGTGCTGCCCTTCCCCTGCCCAAGGAGTTTAGGTGTTAGGCAGTTGCAAGTCCCAGTGCTGGCTGCTGCCCCTCCCCCAAAGAGCTCAAATGGCTTAGACAGCAGGCAGCTGCAGCAGGTGCTGGCCGCCCCTCCTCCCGGGAGTTTGGTAGGCTTAAGCAGATTCCAGCTGAGAGGCTATAAGAATCTGCATTCCAAAAGTGGGACACCAGCCCCGATGGCCTCAGTTTACAAGTTAGAGTAAGATCTTCCTATCTATGGGTTACACAGTTCTGTGGAAAAAGCACAGTTTCCCAAGCTGAGTAGCATGCTCACTCACCACCTCCCTTGGCTGGGGAGCAGGGTTCCCCTTTCCCATGTGGCTTTCAGGTGGGCCAAGACACCACACTGTTCTTCCTTCTCTTTATGGGTCACATCAGCCTTTCTAGCCAATTTTGATGAGAGAACCTTGATGCCTTGGTTGCCAGTGAGGGATTCACACGCTTATTATGTTCTTTTCCGATGGGAGCCTCCAAATGCTCTAGCTTCTAGTCAGCCATCTTGGCCTTACCCCTCAAAAATACTTTAGTCTTGATAAAATACAGCTATTTATAAAAGTATAATGAAGGATTACTTTGCTCTTATGTTCAGTTTAGGATTACTAAATTAAATTTTATTCTGAAATTCACATTAAGCTTAATAGGCCCTCTGCATGCATATATCTATATATATGTACATACAAGTATTTACATGAAAATATATTAAAAACTGACAAATGAAAACAGATATCTGATTCAGAGAAATTATCAGAAAACAGTTGAATAATATTTTATATTTTCATATACGTTACATGTGTAATTATACATATACATATACATATATATACATATATACAGAAATTTGATTTACAAATAAATAATTACCAATAAATGTGTTATAAAAAGTGCTACAAGTTAAAATAATTTAACTCTGATTTTTCAAAGAAAAAAGAAGCTTGGTATGGATTATGTTCCTGAGTAAAGGCCTGATATCGGCCGGGCATGGTGGCTCAAGCCTGTAATCCCAGCACTTTGGGAGGCCGAGGAGGGTGGATCACGAGGTCAAGAGATCGAGACCATCCTGGTCAACATGGTGAAACCCCGTCTCTACTAAAAATGCAAAAAATTAGCTGGGCATGGTGGCGAGTGCCTGTAATCCCAGCTACTCAGGAGGCTGAGGCAGGAGAATTGCCTGAACCCAGGAGGCGGAGGTTGCGGTGAGCCGAGATCGCGCCATTGCACTCCAGCCTGGGTCACAAGAGCGAAACTCCGTCTCAAAAAAAAAAAAAAAACAAACGGCCTGATATCCAACTCTATTTTAAAATCTTCTCTCCCTTATTTTCTGATACCTTTAATGGAATAAATAATACTGTGTTTTATACAGCAAGGTGTTAGGCTTTATAAAAATTAATACCTTTTTATAATTCCTATTTTATTTTTAGTGAAAAATATTAGAAGGTTAAAAACAGCAATAAAACTTTAAAACGTTAGTTAGCAAGGTCCTATGTGACATACTAAGAAGTTGTTTGAGTCTTTATCACAAAAGTCATTAAATCCAATGAACACATTAGAGTTTATGTGAACTGTCAGATGCATTCTCTGCAATCAGCAGTTACCTGGCCCCACCACTCCTTCTCTTGGCTTTTGTGGCATCACTCTCTTCAATGTCCCTCTAGCTTCTCTGTTGCATCTTCTCCAGCTGCTTTGCAAAAACAATCCTCTGTATTCAGTCAACATTCTAGATTAAATGTCTACAGTCTCCCAAGAAAATGCCATCCACGCCAGTGCCTACAATTATTAACTATACTTGGATGACTCTCAAATGATTATCTCCAGCCCTGACCTTTTCTTGGAAGTCCAGCTCCATGGATTCTACTGCACACTTGAAAGTGTCCACTCATATCTCTTTAAAACCCAAAACTGAACTCATATTTCTACTGCAAACCCTGATGCTCTTCCAGTTTTCCCTACCTGACTGATGGACACCATCATACTCACAGTTGCACAGCCCAGACATTGAGAGTTATTCTTTGCACCTCCCTCCCTTTCATTCCTCATATGCAGATCCACTTGATTTTACTTCCTGCTTGTTTCTTACGTTTATTCCTTTCTCCCTGTATCTTGCCACAGCTCTGGTCACCAAAAGTTTCCTAACTGAATTCCCCACATCCAATTTTGCTTCACTCCAGTCCATCATCTGGGCTGTAGCAAATCATAGTGTGATGCTCTCATGCCTACATTTGTTGATAACTTTCCATGTGCTTTAGAAAAAAGACCAAGATTCTTAATGTGGCATACAATATTCTGTATAATCTAATCCCTGTCCACCTTGTCAGCTTCATTTCGAGCTAATTTTCCACTGTCTCCTGCATTCAAATTACTACTGCGTTGCATTTTTCAAAAAGGGTTGCAATGCTATCTCCAAACCCATGCTCTTTCAGAACCTGGCTACCCTCCATCGAGAGGTGGAGTCTATTCAGCTTTCCTTTGTGCCTGGGCAGGATCATGACTGCTACAAACATACGTTGAGGCAGAAGTGATGCTGTGTGACTCTCAAGGATAGGTCATATTTAAAAAAATATAGCTCCCCTCTAGCCCCTTTTCTGGGGATGCCTAGTTGGGGAAATAAACCAGTATGTTATGGGTAATACCAAGCTCTTTGCTCATTCAAAGAGACTTCATGGAGAGACCTAGATAGAGAAGAACTGAAGCCCCCAACCAGTAGCTGGCATCCACTGCAAACATGTGAATGAGAAGGTTTCAGATTATTCCAGTCCCCAGCCTTCATGTCATCCAGTTAAGTCCCAGAGACCACAGAACAGAGATAAGCAATCCCCACTGTGTTCTGTCTGAACTCTTGACCCGTAACTCTGTGAGCATAACAAATGGTTATTTTGTACCACTAAGTTATGAGGAGATTTGTGCTCATCATTAGCTAGTCAGAAGCATCACCCTGGCCTTTCTAGTCCAGGACTCGTAGCAATGTTGCCTCCTATTTTAGCATTTTTCCTCTCCTGGGCTTCCATGCACAAACCTTCACTCACTCCAGGCAGTAATGAATTTTTCTGTATCCTTCTGAAATCAGCTCAAATTTCAACAAATAGCAATATAATTATGGATTAGAGGAACATTACATTACTAGAAGACCACACATCCTATGCCAAAGGGATGAAAGTGAAGAATGCAGGAATTATCTAACTTGCCGTGGATGTCAGCCAGAGCCACAACGCATCCTAGAAGCTAAAGCTTTGCTAAAGTCTAAGGAGAAACGAGAGAAAGAAACCCACATTTTGTGGACCATACCCTTCAATATGTAGTGGATCACACTTTTTGGATCATTTGAAAGTTTTTTGTTTTTTTTTTTTGAGATGGAGTTTCGCTCTTGTTACCCAGGCTGGAGTGCAATGGCGCGATCTCCGCTCACTGCAACCTCCGCCTCCTGGGTTCAGGCGATTCTCCTGCCTCAGCCTCCCGAGTAGCTGGGATTACAGGCACACACCACCATGCCCAGCTAATTTTTTGCATTTTTAGTAGAGACGGGGTTTCACCATGTTGACTGGGATGGTCTCGATCTCTTGACCTTGTGATCCACCCGTCTCGGCCTCCCAAAGAGCTGGGATTACAGGCTTGAGCCACCGCGCCCGGCCCATTTGAAAGTTTTCTTTAGCCATTTCTCACCTCTTGAGAAACATTCTTGCCTACTTCAGGTCAATGTCATACTAACCACCACCAAAACTGCTGTAGCTCTGTGTCTCTCACCACAGTCTGGGGTGGATTGTCACGAGAATCATGACATTTGGGGGAACTCCATTAGATGAAGCGATTGTAGGGAATACCTGTAAGGAAATGGAGAAGTACGTTAGTAATTTCTTTCATGACAGGCCCAAAAATATCTGTTTGGTTTGAATCTTTTTGTGTAAATTTCCCTGTACAAGCATCTACCTTTTCTTTGTTTTTAGAGCTCATTTCACCTTCCACTTTCATGGCGTTGTGGTCACCTCAGCCTCTCAAAAAAAAAAAAAAAAAGCAAACCCTCCCATCGATTTACTTACCCGTAATATCACAACTCTCCACTTTTCTCCTTGAATAGATGGTGGGCATTCAAAGAGAAAAATGGGTGTATTTGATTCCAAAACTGCATCCCAAGTCTTCCAATGTCAGCCTTGAGCCCAGGACTTTGTCTTATACCCGGCTGCTGCTGCTGCTACAATGAAGTTTTAGAGTTTTTTCCTGTGTTTTTCAAAACAATGTGTGAGGGTCCAACTTGTGACTACACTAACACTGGTGTTTTTTTTTTCCCTAGCAGATGCTCTAAAGCTTAGAACAATCAAATAAGTGTTTTTTTCCAAACTCGTTCCCTAGGGAGGCCCTTGCCTTAGGAATTTATGTTAACTTTGTTCAATGCACATTGCGACTGACATCAGAGAGGAGCTTCCAGTCACAGAAGAATATCAGTCCCATTACTTTAGATTCACCGAACATTGTTCTTATTCCAAAATGTTTTTCTTTCCTACACTTGTCCCTTATTCCCTGAGCTCTGCCTACTAATCCAGGCCTCCCTTTCTCCTCTGATGATAAAGTGAACAAATCAAGGACCTTAGGGACCAGACTGGAACTCAAAGAAACTCCTCTGGGAAAAAACAGCTCTGGAGTTCAGAGAGAATCTGTTGGATTAGCATCTACAAGTGACATGAATGTGATTGATGGAACCCTCCAAAGTTGACCAGTACAAGTCACATTTTGTCTAAAGTTATATCTTCATTTGGATGAGGGACATAATCTTTCTCTGTGAGTAAAGTACTCTCTATATAATATATTGAGAACTATAGAACCATAAATCTATATTCTGTATGGAATAGTTTATATACTATATGTATGCTTATATGATATATATTATAAAGTACTACAGTATAATGCTTTATATTTTATATATATACACATCTGTGTGTGTGTGTATATATATATATATAGTGTGAAAACTGTTGGTACCCTAAAATTAGTAAAATTGTGAGCTAATGTGCTCACACACTGGGCAGCTACTTACCATCAGCCTCGGCTCTATTAAATAGAGCAAGGTTAGCATACATATGGTGTTCACTCCTTGACCTATAGTGACATGACTAATCAATCATAAAAGCCTTTCCCAAGATGCCTAGACTAGACTTCAGAATCCATGCCGTAGTCATCTCAGCCAACCAAAGCTGGCTCGAAAGATGAAATGTATTTGCTATTTCTGAAATAGAAGGGAGCCCATTTCCTCCAGAACATATTATTAAAATTCAGATTTTGTGAGGAAAAGAAGATCCTAGGAGGCAAACAGAAAAACCCAGAGGCAATGGTAGGGCCCCTCCTATGAGTGTGTCTCAGCAGCACATTAGACTAAATTAGATTTATTAAATTAGCTAATTGTCACGTTGAAAGGCACAGGCGAGCCAATCCTGAGGTGACAAACAAAACAAATAGGTTGCAGCGGTACGGATAGGACACTGGGGAAGCGTTTAGCCTCGCTAAACCTTAGGAAGCTGGTCCTAATGAGGTGTACTGGGGCGGGAGAGTCTTTGCAGAAGGCTCCAAGCGCAGGACAGCAAGCCCTGGGACCAAACACCCATCTAGAAAGGATTGACTTTTCCAGCTGACATGCGGGGAGATTAGCACGATGTTTAAATAATGGTGAAGTTTACCAAGCCCAACAAGCTGATCCCTGTTATGGTTGCTACAAAAGCAAAGTCTGGAATTAGAGAAAATCGTCTTGCAAATAATTAAAATGACATGTAGAATCTCAAATTAAGGGACACAAGACCCCTAATAGCACATTTATATATGCGTTTCCTTTATAGAATATACTCTATTTTCAATAAGGGAAGAATTCCTCTGCCCTACTTCTTTCTACTTTGTCAACACAAGGGGTGTTCCCAGCCTGAGTGGTGTTTGTCACAGCCTGAGCGGATGCCAGGATATGCCTCGGGTACTCCTGTGGGAGCTCGGGGCTCCTCTGGGACCACCACCAGCTGCCTGCCCTGCTCCCACAAAAGCCGTTTCGTTGTCAACCGTAACTGAGGATTCAACTACGTTTCATGGTGGCCAGGTGGTCATACAGCTCCTCCAATCCCCTTTTGTCTTGTTTGAATGTTAATATCAGAGATAGAAGAAAGAAAAGTCACACTTAAAAATAGCATCCTGAACATCTTTGGTTTTCTCCATTTGGACTTCTTACTGGATTTCCTAAAATGGCAGCTATCACTGAGCACAGCTGTTTCCTTTGCAGGTGTCCAAAAACCCCAGTAATTTCATTGTTTTACATTTTTTAATTCATGGTTTGAAATTTTTAAGACAACCCTCTTTAATGCACTTTGTCTCTAGTATGTTAGAGAAAACCATCGTTAGCTTAAAACACAGGGTTTGTTCTTTTAAAGTCTATTAACATAAACCTAGATATCATTAAGCTTGTATCAATGAATTTCATAAATCCATCTCGAGTGATTATTTTGGGAATCTGATATCATCTTCAGCCACTTCAAATGCCTGTGCAGTTAAAGATTCCTCTCTGATGACTCAACCTAATGTGGGTGTGTTAGGTTTTTTCCTGTTAGAGAGACATTTCTCCTTCAATGTGTTATTCGTGCAGATGACTGAGACAGTGTGTGGAAATGTGCTCTATCACACGACACATTGTTAAGACCATGTTCCGATTAGAATTTCTCAAAATTTTGGTGCCACAGTTGAGGCACTTGAGATGATCCCATTCACCAATTCACAAACAGTAAAACTTTCTTCAATATTTACAAAAACAGACTTAATTCTAAACTCTGCCAAGGGAACACAGTATTGCTTTCACCTTCTTGTTACTGTGGCAAGTCTTTGTTTTTAGATCTTTTCCTGAGACTGTATTTGTTAAGGCAGGTTTTCCAGCTGCCTTGAACTTACCATCCCCAGTGAGGTCTCCCGCTAGGGTCCTTGAGCCTGGTCTGTGTGCGTTTTCCCCTTGGCTACAGCGGGACTTTTGAGAGCATAGCAATTTCAGGATCAAGTTGTGAATATAGGGTCTGATAAGATGCACCAGCCAAGTTTGTGTCTAGCATTCTCCATTGGCAACGTTGACTTGCTTGACAGAGCATCGGAAACACGTGATTGGGTCCGAACTATAGCCATCATATCTTTAAATAATAGCATCGGAAACTAATAATTCCTTTACCAACGAATACAGTCCTTCAACATATAAAGATGATTTATTCCTTTTTAAAAAATTATCTAAGTTTGTTATTAGTATTCGCTTTAGATTGTCTTTCCAGGATTGATTGGTTTTATGTAAAACAATTATTATAAAGTCACAAAATGAAACTGCAATTCAAAAGAATTTAACATGTAAAAAATAGTACATAATCCGGGATAGTCAGATTTTCTATGATTTTTATCAGGAGTTCATTGACCAAAAGTCAGAAAATTTGCCAAATACCCACTCATTGTTTACCTTACAATGAACACTGCTCCAAAAACATAGACAAGACCACAAGCAAAGTTAAAGCCTTTTGCTGATTTTAGATACAGGCCACAATGTAAGTTAGCTGCCTTTAGCCAATTTCCCTGGTGGCTGGTCCTGCTTCCCCCGGTCCTCTCCCCTTCACCAGAGTGCTCTGTTCCCATCCTCACCCTGCCCTCCCAGCAATGGGTATCACCAGTCCCCTTGCTGTGCTTTGCCCTGTCCTGCCAAAATACAGGCATGAGAAATGCAAGAAGTTTGGTGAAGTGTGAACACCGAAAAAGTTTGCTTGAGAGGCTTGTGTGTTTGTCCTTCTCATCTTCCACTCTACCTAGTGAAAACTGGCTTCTTTGTGTACGTCATAAAATTGACTTTTTCCTGGATTGAGTTTTACATAGTTATTAAGATTCAAGTTGCAGTGAAAGAGGAACATCATATTATACTTGTATATAATATTTAGCCTGTTCTGTTTGCAAAGGAGTATATGATTTCCAAGAATCATCTTTTTCACAATAAACTCTTTGTTAATAAGTTTGTGTCAACATTATAAAATACACACACACAGCCCCTCCTTATTTAGATAAGAGCCTAGGACGTAAATAACATATAGTTCCATACTATAAAATAATGATACAGACTTTTAAAGAAATTTTTCTTGTAGTTCTTATATGCTTTGCATGAGGACCCTGTGAAGGGGGAGACAAAATCCTATAAATTGTCTTAGTACTGACTGGCATGATGGGCTTACGTTAGCACCTGAACTGGAGCTTCCTATGAGCCCATGAACACAATTAGAGAGATTAACTAAGACAATTTTCTTTTGCTATTTTACAAACTAAAGTCACTTTATAATTTGTTTGTGATGTCTTTTGAGGGGTAGAAAACAGAGCAAAGATCTTAAAGCTATTGAACAAGGTACGGAGCTTATAATATTATATCCAATGATAATGTCAACCACAGGAAATTTACGTGAGGCAGGAAAATACATTGTATTATATGTTTCCCTACAGCTGGCAATGATATTCTGATCATTTGGAGTTAGGGAGCATCTAATTCTGGATGAGTAATTATTTGGTTTGAACAATCAGATAATATACTGTTTATGTCTATCCTAGAAGGGGTTGATTGTTTGGGTTTTCAATATTAATTAATTTATGTGGTATGAGATTGAATTGCTAACTTTCTTCTGGTCGGCTTGTAAATTTCTACAAAGAGGATCCTTAACTTTCTGTCCTCTGCAGCCATCCACCCTCATTAGCCAATCCTGCAATCTCACAAATTTGTGGGATTTTCTCAACTACTTGCTTAATTCAGAGACGTAAGCTCTATGGAAGAAAAAAAAAGGAATTGACTGAGTTG